TCCCGCCGGCGGGAAGGCGGGCTCTGCCGGCGCCATTTTGATGCGCGTCTTTTCACCGCCCCCGTCACCTGAGGGGAGGCGGGAGGTTGTTACTTCCCTGCCCAGCATTTTCCCCGTGGGGTAGTTTTCCTTGTTTTTTGTTTGTCTGTTTGTTTGAAGGTTTTTGTTGTTGTTGTTGTTTTAGCGCTTGGGTTTTTTTTGGGATTTTTTGAGCTTGTGTCAGGTTGGGGTGGTGATGAATCTAGAGGTAGCGCTGGCTTTGTGTTATGGAGGCCTGAGCTCCACTCCTTCCACAGCTCTTGATTTTCTCCTGGCTCTCCAGTTTAAGGAAGAGCAAAGGGTGGTTTAGCTTAAATTACGTGGTGGAGAGGCTCCTCTGTTTGAATGGGCTCTGGGGTGACTCCTGCATCAGGAGGTGTTTCAGGCCAGCTGTGGGGTGCAGGGAAGGGACTTGTTTCAAACTTGCCAGTTTTACATCTGTATCTGCCAGGGATGGTGAGGGCAGTCCATGTTCTTGCACTGGCTCATATAATTTGGCACATGTAGATTCGAAGCAGCATACTGCCAGGCTGTAAGCTTCCTTTTGTAACCAGTCAGTGCAGTTTAGGGGCTTTTCATTTTTGTTCTAATATCACTTGCCTTTGGCAGGTCTTGGGCAGCTTTTAGGCTGCTGAGAGATCGTTTTCCCCATCATCTTTTTTAGCATATCTATCTCATCTCTTAGCTTCTTCCACCTGCCTTTGGTGGAAGGTAGCCTAGAAGTGCCAGCTGAGAGGGTGTGTCAGATAGCTGGGACTTTAGACACCAACAAACCATTTGTTTTAGATAGTAATGCTGTATCTTCATGAAGAGTGTACTTGAGTTGAACTGTACTTGATAGCAAAGGTCATTCATGGGGTTTCCCCAAATACTTGTTTGCTTTCTCTTTGTCATTCAGCTCCTTTAAAAAAATCAGGAAGCCAAACTGACGGAGTGAGATAAAGTCTTGGAAGTCATGTACATTGATGGACGTTCATGCAATTCTACTCCACCAGTGGTCAACAGTGCTCATGCAAGATGTTCTGTACATTTTTCTGAGTGTTTAGCTAAAATGTGGTGTAATATATAAATTGTGACGTAAATGTAAAATTCAATGTAAAATAAAATTTGAGTTTCCTGTCTCAGGAGGTCTTCCACCTCTTCCCTCCTGCGTGTGACACGTGCTTCTGGTTACGGTCCAGTTTGCAGATTTCTTGCTGTGGCAGATCTAAGCACTCAACTCCAGGACTTTCCAAAGAAATGGGAAACAAGCAGGGCTTCCGCCCAGGGTCTTGTGCTCTATGCCAAGCAATTAAAACAGGGCCATCCCAGTTATTCAGAGAACAAATTGAGTAACAATGCTTGCTTGAAGAGATCTCTTCCTCTCTCATCACATTATGCTATATAATGATTTATAGAAGCAAGGTGATCTTTAGCTTGTCCAAAAGCTTGAACATAAGAGCCAAACAAAATACTGCCTTCCAGTCTAGGGATAACTTCCTTATGAGGAGAAGTAACATTGCTAGGCACAGTAGTGTAGTGATGTCACATTTTTATGAGTTATTTTTTTTTCTCTTTTACATATAGAGAGTTTTATCCTAGAGGAAGGAATATGGCTGCAACAGCCTGATGTAAGAGTTTATTCAATGTCTTAAATTAAATGCAATTTCTTCTGCTGGCTGCCTTGGCTCTTGTGATGGGGAAAAATAAAGGGGTGACTCTTTTCATGGGATAGAAACCAACAGTTGGTAAGCACAGTGTTGGCTCACCATGGTAAAGATACGTAGACAGAGGGTTAGGGGCTGTTCAAGGGTTTCTCCATGTCATAAGACTTTTGATGCAGGTACTTAAGCAGCACTGAGGCTTTTGGTTGGACAGAAAGAGGCCAGCAAGATGGTGATAGTGCAGATACAGTAAGTACTCTGCTTGCTTTCCTCACCTTCAAACAAATGCTGTCTCTAGAGGAATATAAGTGACACATAATTTAATGCAAAGAAGGAAGATAGTTGCTTTCTTAGAAACCTGCGGTCTCTGGGTTGAGTGAATTGTCTTTTCTCCTGAGATGTTTACTTTGTCTTCCGAGTATTTTCTACTACTGTTAGCAATGCAGACCATCGAGTCCCAGGGAGACAAACAAAGCATGTGCCAATTTGAGTTGAAGCCCGTCATCTCGTTCCAAGTTTGGAAATTTGACATGTTTCTGATTTCTTGCAGATAGTTTTTGAATGTGTTTATTTCATCAAGCTCTTGTATGCAGGGGAAAAGAAGAATAGCCCTGAACACTATGTCCATGTACACAAGAGAGAAGAGAAAGTGATTTTCTTTCTGTAAGTTCATTCAGCCATGATCTGTGGTTTGTCAGCACTGCGTATCATCGACCAGTTTAGATAGAATTGGACGTTTCCGAGGAACGGAATGGCATGTCACTGGCCATTAAAGAATTACTTCTTTTGCTTTTGAATTAAAATTAAACCTGCACTGCCAAGTATGGGTCTGGTCAGGAGCAAGGAAGTATCATATTTTAGATGAGAAACTTACATCCTAATTGCTTATGGCCTCCAGAGATTTTATGGAACTGTTCTCAAAGAAATGGTATTCCCTTGTTTGACCTGCACTGGGATTAGACATTGTAGATGTTCTGTAAGGCTCTGTTTTTCTTTTCATACTAATTTGTGTTCTGTTTGTGTCTGAAAAATGGAATATGTTATGCTTTTTTTCTTATTTCCTATAACGTATTACTATTTTCTGCTTCCAACTACAAAGAAACTTTTCTGGTCCTTTGGGCCTTTTCTGGTCCATTGGGTGCTAATGGATGACATGTATATCTGCTCCAGAGCCTTACCCGTGCAGATAGCTTGTGAAGGCTGAGGCTGTTCCAACCAAACATGATTAAAAGTCATAGAAATTGAGATGGAAAAAGCTAGAAATTGAGATGGAAAAAGCTATTAGGTCACGTAGTTCCCACACGCGGCCCCCGGACCAGTACAGGTTTGTTTCCAATGGTACATTTTTGGTGCTTTCCAGAAGGGGTCAGTGCAGGTCAGTGTTCACTTTGCATCCAACTGCTTGCTTCCCTTCCCCCTTCTTGAAAAATTAGGAAACCTGGATATGGTGACAAGTAGGTTGTGAAATGTCTAGTATTTTTATTATAGCTTGTAATTTGATGTTGGGTGATCAAAAGCAGAAGAAACATGTTCAAGTCCGACTATTGATCATCCAAGATTTTAAATGAGGAAATTTAGTGAGATCTTCAAAATGACTTATTAGCTATGTATGTATATTAAATGCTACAGATCCTGAGAACTGTACTGGCAACACTTGGCTGTAGCGAGAAAGACACAGATTCCCAGGTTTATCCTCTTGGGTCGTCCATACTTAGAAAGAGCATATTACAGTAATGTTTTATAGTTACATAAAAAAATGTCCGGATAATTCAAATGAAATTTCTGATTGTAAAAAACAAAAGTGACAAAAACCCTCGTAAGTCTGAGTAAGGGAGGAGAATAACAATCATGTTTCACCAAAAATGCAGTTCGTCTGACTCAACCACTGCAATACAGAAACCTTTCTGAAGATTGTCTGGTGCCACGGGTCTGTTAGGGTGTGGAGGCTCCTGCAGGGTCCGTTTCGCATGTGTGAATCCGGTGTCCTGGTCGAGAGCGGCCACGTGCTCATCAGCAGGAGAGGCCTGCCCGTTCCACATGACAACAGCTTACCCTACATGTCTGTGGCCATGAAGAAGTGACAACCAGCTGCTGAAATGGATTTTAGAGGAAGTAGGAGAATGATACTGGGACAGAAATTAATAATTTGAAGTGCAGAGGGGGATGAAAAGGTGGATGGAGATGGTAAGAAAGAAATGCTGCAAAGAGAGCAGGGAGAGATGGCACTCTAGTAGGAGAACGAGCGACTCACTTGAAAATAACTTGTTTATGTTTTTAAAGTTTTCTTGTTCTCCCAGTGGATATGGTTATTTTTCAAAGTAAAATAACCAAGTAATAATTTCATTACATTTCCTTCCAAGATTTCGAGCGAAGTGTAAACAAGAAAAATCCAGTGGGAAAATTAACCTAACTTCCTTCTTCAAGAGCGCTTCAGTTCTGTTTCTGCCCCCGCCCCTCTCCTTATACATATTCACTGCTACTGTTCTTATACCCAGTATCTGTGGCATTGCTGACACCGACTGAAATACCTCAGGGATGGCATTTGTCAGAGGGAGAAACTTTCAGGATTACTTAAAATCACTTCTGATACAGAGATGATAAGTTCTGAGATTTTCAGTGTTTAAAAAATACTAATGACTTTTGACATTTTGGGAATGTTCCATATGGGCAAGTCAAGATGATGGAAAACAACTGAACCACTCGCACTGAGATTTGATCTCTGGCAAGTAATATTTGGGCTGCATGGGAGAATCATAAGGAACAAAACCTCTGTAACACCGTGGCAATCAGACCGGCAGACTTCCAAAGCTTTAATTTTTCCAGATGTTAAGTGCCTTTTTTTTAATTCTAACACAGGTGAAGAAGGGAATTCAGAAAAATGGACAATGTAAAACATTGAATTTGTAAGGAATTGGTTGGAATAAAGACCACCACATCGTTGAATCTTCGGATACCAGTGTGCTGAAACATGAGCGGTGGTAATTTGCATTAAATGAAGTCAAAGGGTTTATCAGGGCCATAAAAATAAAATATGTTTTCTACATTTTAAAACATGTT